ATTTGAGTTAGGGCAACCTCATATTACTTTAGGTGCATTACTATTATGACAAACCACAATAGGGAAGAAATGGGGGATAATCCATTAAAGAAAGTAGTATTTAATTTAAGGGTAGTGATACGAAAAATAACAAAAAGTTGTTTTTAAATTATTTTCTTTAAGTTTTTTTCCTAAGGTTTTGGGAGTTTTTTCTTCTCCTCTGAGTGGGGGTAGCACTCTTTTTCATCTTTACAAAGGCATACTATCGCATTGAGGTTTTTGAATGGTGAGTTCAAGTGTACGGGACTTGATTGTAGCATTAGAAAGGAGGCTTTCTCTTACAATAGATGAGGATGTGGGACTAGCCTTAATGATGGTGAGAGTAGCGAGTAGGCTAGCATAGGAATGAAGTGGAGCTTGGTGGGCACGATGCTAAATGGGAAGAGGTACAATATGGAAGCCATGGAGAGAATGCTAGTAAGTGTTTGTAGGCCAATGAAAGGCATGCATATGCGAATCTTGAGAGACAACCTATTCACCTTTTAGTTTTTCCACCTAATGGATATGTAGAGGGTTCTAGCAAAGGGCCCATGACACTTTACAAATCATGTAATGGTCCTGAAGAAGGGGCAAGGAGGTAGGCAAGTATTGAGAGGGTCATTGTACAAGGTTCCCTTTTGGATCTAGATCTATGGTTTACCACTCGACCAAATGACGATAATGACGGGTAGAAGGATAGGTGAGGCAATAGGGCAAGTCCTTGATGTTGATGTTAGGGAAAATGAAGCATGGAGTGTTGAGTTCATTCATGTAAGGGTTCACATTGATTTGAGAAGGCCGTTGAGGTGAGGTATGAGACTATCACTCAAAGAAGGTCCTATATGGGTGTCATTTCAATATGAGTGACTTTCGAACTTTTGCTATTGTTGTAGCTTGTTAAATCATGTTGAGCATGATTGCGAGATGGGGTTGGAGCTTGCTACACTTAGCTAGAGAGAAAGACCTATAGGGATTACCTCTGGGCAAGCTTCTAGCGGTCATTGCAAAGGGGCATAGTGAATAGTGGGGGCTGGCTTCATGACGTTAGGGGCAATCTAGTGATGGGGGAGCCATACTAGAAGCATGATTCACCCCATAAGGAAAGAACGATAATTCTAAGCTCATGAGATGAATATGGTAATAATCGCGATTGGTGGGGTGACAGAAATATGAGAAGTGAGACTCACACCAAATCTCTTCAATCAAGCATAATTTGGGATTCTACCATAAATCCCAATAACAGTGGTCACCTTCCTAACATGGGATCTCTATTAAAGATGGTTGCTTAAGTCATGCTTTGATTAGGAATAATGCTGATGATGTTAGGAGGGAAAGGATTGTTTTAAATTTATGTGAAGTAGTAGGCCAACATTCTCAACATGACATAATTTCTAGAAATACTAACAAGCCCAGTTCACTTTTGGCTCCGTAAGATTTTCTTGATCCAATTCCAAATTTCTTGGCCCAAAAGGGTAGCCTAATTTTCCATTTGACCTCTAGCCCATTTGAGAACATACAAAAGAATAAAGCTTGGAAAAGGGAAGCTCATGGAAAGTGCACAATTAATTGTAGCCCCAAATATATTGTTACTCGGACAAAAAGGAAAGAACATGGTGTGTAGGTAGTAATTAATGATCATATTGGGAGTGAGAAGTGGGGGAAGAGTGTCACAGATGATGAAAATTCAATTGCTATATTGGTGAGTCTGCTTCGTAGACCTATTGGTTGCCATGAGTCTCTTCTGTTGGAATTGCTGAGGGCTTGGGAACCCTTGAGCAGTCATTGCCTCCTTGAATTAATGGGCTGAAAAAACCCACAATAGTGTTTCTCTCCAAGACGCTGTTGAAATAAATGACAATGGATAGGATTTGTTGAAAGCTTCTTTTCAAAAATTGTTTTACTATAGAACGAGTAAGGCGTAGTGGTGGTTTAGCTATGCTTTGTAATGACAATGCTCAACATTCTCTTTTGTTCTATTCTATAAATCATATTGATATGGAAACTGATGGTATAGGAGATAAGAAGTGGCATTTTACTAGCTTCTATAGATGTCCCAAATGGTAGAATCAAAAGAAGTTGTGGGCTCTATTAAGAGAGTTGGCATCTTGTTTCCCCTTATTGCAGCTAATTGCTAGGGATTTCAATGATCTTTCGCACAATTATGAAAAGTCAGAAGGGGCCTCTTAGATGGGATGGATGATGTAGGGTTTTAGAGAGGTTATAGAGGACTGTAGATTAACTAAATTACATATGAGGGGAGATCAATTTACATGGTGCATCGTAATAAACAGTTTTTTTCACAGACATGCCTTGAAAAGAAGAAATTAGAACAAGGTTATTAAACTGTTAGGCTTTGATGGCAACTAGAAAATGAGCTTGGAAGAGTTACTAAGTGTGGCCATAGAATATTTCACCTCCCTTTTCACCTCAACTTTCCCCAACAATATTGACCTTGTTTGGTCATGTTTAAAACCTTGTGTGATGGAAAAGGATAATAGTTTTTTGTTACATGAATTTATAGAGCAAGAAATTACAAAGGCCTTGTTTCAGATGCATCCCTTTAAAGCCATTAGGCTAGATGGAATGTCACCTGGTTTTTACCAACATTTTTGGAGCATAGTAAAGCATGATGTGGTTGAGTCATGGCTGCACTTTCTCAATTATGGTGAAGCCTTACCCAAGGAATTGAATTTTACTTATATCATCCTCATTCCAAAGTGTGCAGCTTCGAAATTAATGATGGATTTGAGGTTAATATCTCTTTGTAATGTGGTGAATAGGATCTTAGCAAAGGTTTTAGCCAATCACTTCAAACAGTTGCTGCAATATCCCAAAATTTTCTAAAACCTTAAAATTTAAGTTTGGGACTTATGTGGGAGATATTATTATTGTTGGGCCTAATGGTTAAAATTCATAAACCTAAGGGGGAGTTGAAAGAAAATCTGGTATTTAAGGGGCCAAGACTAAATTTTCTTTTTCTCCTTGCCCTTCTTGCGTGTTTCCTAGCTCTTCGCTCGAGGCTCTGTAGCCACAAGCCCTAAGCTACCTTAACACCTCATCACCATGAGAAATAGGGGGGGGAAAAAAAACTTAGCTTTTTCTTCCTTTTTTTCACAAGGTTTAGAGAGCAATGAGTTTATAGTTCCAAAATGATGATAAAAAATTCAGATCTGGTTGCTAAAAGCCACCAATCTTTTGGTTTGTGTTTGGTTTGTTGTCCATAGTAAGATATCACCATTTTCTAGCAATTTTTGGTAAGAAATTAGCCATATTGCTCATCTTTTTATCTTTGATTTGAATTGGGTTAACTTAAAGGAAAATGATTGATACAGCCTCCAGTTCAACATACTTTACAACACACTCATTAAGAAACTATTATTTTCAAATTTAGTTTCATGGCAGGGAAATTTTCAAAGCCAAATTTTAATTGTTGAATCAAAGTGTGTTGTGTAGTGTGTTGAATCGAAGGGTGTGCCAATCATTGTCCTAACTCAAATCCTTAGGGTTTTCAATTTTGGGTTTTTTTTTTTTTTTTTTTTGTAGTTTTTCTCCTTGGTTTTGCCCTAGTGCCACTAGATCTGATTCCTTTTGCTAGAGATTCTAATAGCATGAACTTACAATTGTATTTTGTCCATAAGTGATGAGAACCCCAAAGAGAACAATGAGACCCACAGCACAACAAGGGATTTCTAAACTACATGGACAGATTTATGAGAAGTAGAGGGGGTCAAAGATATAGATTTAACAAAGGAGGCTATTGAATCTGAGATTTTGAGATACTTTTCTCTTTGGTTCGTTTCAAAACTTTATAGAACTTATCAAGATTATTCTCGTGGCGTTCTAACCTGACTTATCATTCTCGTTCTTAATCGCTCGAGGGTGTGGCGTCAACCAACTTTATACCTCTGGTTCTTGCTGTGTCATAGACAACGGGTCAAGGTTTTTACCTTTGGTTCTTGTTGCGACATAAACAATGGGTCAAGGTCCTATTATAAACCTGATTTAGCTTTCCTGGAGTTTAGAAATCCCTTGTTGTGCCATGGGTCTCATTGTTCTCTTTGGGGTTCTCATCAATAAGTCTTTTTGTAGATATTGGATTGAGTTCATTCTTAATTCTATAGAAAGTTAAGAGATAGTCCTACAATTTTTATGTTGGATGTTAACCCCAGTTAAGTTGTTTTCATAGTGAAAACTCTGCTGCAAGTAGATAGAACTGGCAACCCAACCCTAAGTTAGTATTTTGCCCATAACTTTTTTAGTAGATGTCAGATTAAGGTGATTCTTAATCCTATAAAATGCTAAGACATAGGGTTAGAATTGGGTTAATTTAATAAATCATCTATTAACTTTCATATTCTTTTCAGCTTCATCTATTATTTTTGAATTCTTTCAATCCTGTCTATTAACTTTCACATTTATTTCAATTTCATCTAATCTGTTATATTTAACTGAAATATCTGTTATCTTTAACAGAATCTTCTTATTCTTTAATAAAATATTTAGTCCTCTAACCATATTTCTTTTAATCGTTTAGTCCTTAAATTTATATTCACTGTAAAAATAGTTTTTAATCTTATCTTGTTAAATGTGTTCTTCAAAAAATTATTTTACAGAGTAGACTGTATGCAGTATGTTCTATAAAATTATTTAAATGCCCTTAGTTTTATTTTTATATTATTTTTTAGGAACATTTAAATAAT